CTAACATCCCCCTCAAGCTCCAGATCTCTGTAACGCTCCTCCCCGCTCTCTTACACATAACTGCACAAACATCCCGTCCAAACACGACTTTCCAAACACTCTCCCCCGGCTCACTCAAATCCCGCACATGATTCCCCATCTCCGTCTCAAACAACCTCAACCACCCATCGTTCCCACCCATCACCAGCCACCATTTATCGAATTGCAACGAGGTGACGGAAGAGTCGTGTGCGGCAATATGGTACAGGATGGTGTATGTTGCCAGGGAGAACATGATGACCCGCCCATCGGACCCACCTGTTGCGAGGATTGGGATGGGGGGAGAAGAAGGGCTGGATGGGGGCATGAATGACGCAGGTTGGAGTTGGCAGACCTGAGCAGTGTGGCCTTGCAGGAGGGCCAGACATTCGCTGTCATGCAATCGTTAGTTGCATGTCGAGAGAGAAGGAAGAGATACACACCCCGTAGCAGCAGCGCAGACGCGAACGGTCATGTCCAGTCCTCCCGAAGCGGTCCTCACACCATCGAAAGCGACGCTGTATATCTGGTGGAAATGCCCCTCGAGGACATGGATGCATTCGCCAGTATCCACGTCCCATACCTATGCACAAAACGACATCATCAGCATTCACTCGACTCGAGTAAAAGCACCCTCCGGACTCGGAGAAAGAGCAGTGGAGAAGAGAGCAGCTGGGCGCAGGGAAAGAACCACAGCTGTACTCGAAGAAAGAGCACAGTTTAGCTGAAATGAAAGAAAGATGAACGATCTGAAAGATAGAACACCACGTGAAGCAAAAGAAACATTGATTGGAAAGGAGCACTAGCTGCGGTGTGGAGAAAGATGCCATCTGGACTGGAAGCAAGAGCTTCATTCGGCCTGTTTGAAGAAATGCTATCTGGACTTGAGGAAAGAGGGCCATTTTGACCTGAGAAAGGAGCCCAGCTGGATTCCGAAGAAGAGTGCCAGCTGAATTAGGTACAAAGAGAAGAATGACCGCCGGCTGGGCTCAATGAAAAAGCGCCAGCTGGGATCGAGGAAAGAGCGTTAGAGCGCCAGGAAGGAGCGCCAGCTAGGCTCGAGGAAAGAGCACCACCCGAGCTTGAAAAAAAAGGGCACCAGCTGGGCTCAAGGAAAAACTCCACTAGCCCAAAAAAAGCGCACCGCCAGCCGGGCTCTCAAAAGAGACACCAGCCCCTCTCGAATGCCCAGCCAGCCCGAACAAAAAGAGTCACAGACTCGAGAAAAACCGGGCTCTCCACCCCAAAACAAAGAAACAAAAAGAGCAAAAAAAAGCACCCACCCGACAAGTATTATCATAACCCCCACTAACAACCCTCCTCCCACACACATCAAGACACCTCACGCTTTGATGGTGTCCCTCCAACACGCGTAGGCACTTCCCCTTCTGGACGTCCCATACTCGCAGCGTCGCATCGCGAGAGCCACTGATGGCGATGGGGCGGTTGTGTAAGACGCGGATGGTGGAGGTGTGCCCTTGAAGGATGTGGATGCATTGTCTGAGAGGGGGTGGCTCGTTAGTTAGCTGGGACGGTAGAAGGAAAGAAAAGAAGGGGCGTGGAGAGAAGAAGTGGAAAGGGTGGCCATATTTCCCAAGTGGCCCAAGGTCTCTCCACCCCCCAAAAACCAATCATCATCAAATCCAAAGATGACACACATCCTCTTCCACACACATTCGTCCCTCACAAGCGAACACCAGTACTGACTAACCTGCGCCCCTCGCACAAGCGTCTTCGGATAATCGATGATCGATGAACCCCAAGATGGATCGCCAACTCCACAGGGAGGGAAGACAAAAAGTCCCGTTTGAGTAGCGGCGCGATGGTGGTTGAGATGAAAAGGAGCTTGGAGGGTGTACAGCTGTTGAGAACATCTGTGAGGAATTGTCTGCGGACGAGCGGGTTTGCAGGCGAGTAAGGGTTGCGTGATGGGATGTGGGGTTGATTAGTGTGGAAGGAAGAGTAGGGGCCTGGAGAGGGCGCGGGTGTAGGTGGTGATGCGATGGGCATGTAGAGCGTTTGCGAGGTTTGTTGGGATGAGGAGAGTTGTGATGCGATAGATGCGGCTGCTATGCCACTGCCACCGCTGCTTTTGCTAGGGCCTTGTACGGTGGACGCGAGCGTCATGTTTTTACGGTCGAGCTCCTCGTACTTGTGTAAAGGCGTCGATCGCATTTGGTTAGCTGAGTGGTTGCGGGTATGTAAAAGTCTGGCTTGGTCGAAAGAGGGACAGCGTATGGATAAAATATCTTGCTGTAGCTGTCAACACAAGGAGTGTAAGAAAAGTCCTACAAGTGACTCACAATTCGAACAAACAGAGTGTTCAGTTGGCACTCTGCTCTCGGTACCGAGTCTCCGTCACCAGGACGTCGTGGATGATTTTTTCCGTTCACACTTGATAAATAACGATCTGTACAGCTGACCTTCAACTCACGATTAACAGCACACCTTTCAAGGTCCGCGCACCAGACTCACCTGTCTCTCGATCACCAGAACGTGTGGCTCTTGTAATCAAGCCAATCCGGTATCTCGGCTGTCTTCTTGCTGACTTTCTGAATCGTCGATGTCAGTCGTTCGAGCCGCGTGTCGTGCCCATGGAATCGAGGCTGGACGGTGGTTGTCGTCGTTGTCTGGGTTGAAACCGCAAAATGCCGCCCTGCCAAGCAAATATGGGGTGTCGATAAACAGCGACAAATAGTAATGATTAAATTCTCTGAACTTAGGGTTTTATGGCACCTCCCAATCCAATGCAAAATTCGAGTTTGTACAGCTCAAAGAGGTGAATTCAACATGCCTTCTAACCCAACCTTACACGGGCGGGGAAGGATGGGAGGTAGCGCGAGAGTTATCACTATCGAGAAGAACAACGTGGTGATATTGAAAATTATGTGTTACCTAACTTCTGGAGGACGTTCCGTATTTCGAGACTCCGAACTGCCGCCGATCCGCCTGTCCGCCTAAGGCAGAATCGTCACGTGCACATCTTCTAGTTTACAATCTACTTGTGGGTCTATCGCAACTATTGGCGTGACCAGGTCTCCTCCAAGGTAGCTGCCAGGATCCCACAAAACTTGAGTCAGTACTTAAACGATGCTTCCATTGAACTCCAGTAACCGTACTTGTAACTTGAATAATGAACTTCGCGTCCAATTCGCGTCCATGCGAATTTTTATTGCAATGATAGCGATGTTTTATACAGCCTAATGACTAGGTAGGTATACAACAAGGCAAGATCTAAACAGCAGTCATAATCGCGGGCGTGCATGTCGTGGGGTGTCGTAGTTAGAGGCATTTTAGATACTGTGGCCAAGCGCAAGTCTGCTGAAGTGTCGGGGGTACATGTCGGTGGTGGTGGCGCTGGCTGCCGCTGCGGAGGCTGATGGAACAACCAACGAAGAGGCGGACTTGCCCTTCTTGAGCGTGCACATCTTCCCCTTGGAGGTTGTTGACGTCCCAGCAGCACCACTGGTCTGGGTTGCCGTTGCCGTAGAAGACACGGTCGTGGTTGCGTTACCAGGAGTGGAAGTGCCACCGTTCACGAATGCAGCGACAGGAGGACCGGGGAAGGTGTCCTTTGGTGCACTGGCATCGAACATCTGGGAATAAAAGATGCCAGGGTCGTTGTCGCTATACGCGCCTGGCAAATTGACCAACCCCGAAGGGTCAGGGACCCCAGTGCCCGATGCGCCAACCGTGAGCTGCGAACAGGTAGGATAGAACTCCGCACCGCCGAGTGATATGGCGAGATGGAGAGCCATGATTTCGACAAGGTAATTTCGTGGCGCAAGGTTGTATATGACTTGTACGCTTGCGAGAGAGCAGGACACTGTTGTACATAAGCGGGGATTGTTAGCGCAATTCGGGAGAAACTTAGAGCCAGGAGCACCACGTACATGGACAATCTTGAACTATTTGGCAGTTTGCGCGTCAGGTCGTCGACCAGCAAGATGCTACATATGTAAGTTGTGACTGACGTGACGCAGAAATTTTATGGAGGTAGGGTTTCGTATTGTGCATTGTGCAGGGTTCGGAACCGGGGAGGACGGAGGAAATGAGCTTTGCATTGGTTTCGTACGTATCCATTCCTTTGGTTTATTTAATCAACTTCGGCTTCGTTAAATGTACTTTTTATTAGGCGGCACTCGAAATACATTCAACTCATCCCGAGAGAACAACCGACCAACGCACAACGGCAGAACTCTGCACGGCTCCCGTTCGCGAAAGCCTTGCGACGCTTCGAGAAAGATACAAGCCAAGTCGTTTCAAATCAAAGTACGTACAACCATCAGACCCTTGATGAATATCTTTCTGACAGTTTAATGTTCAGAACGCCGTTTTTTAATTCGGAATCGGGAGAGGAGAAGGAGGACACATTCAGCGGTCATCTAAACTCGAATGAAACTACGTGCTTTGGTCCTTCCTGTACAGGTAAGTGTATTATGATTCTACCACATGAATAAACAAGTTTCAGATTTTTCTCTATCACAGAACCACGAAATCGTATTATTGAAGGGTTCGGACAGTAAGCGCGAACGCCAGCTCACAAATTTCTTACAGCAAAACTGATGAACTCACAAGTGCAGTGACGTCGGGAATACTACCCGAACAAGACTCTGACACGTCAAGATGGAATATACCTCTGCGGTTCAAGCACGATGAAGAATCGGGGGAGGAGGAGTATATCCTTACATATTGTTCGAAATGTACGTCCCCTACGCTTTGTCAACGTTTCGAATCGTTGATACTATAGAGGATCTAGGTAAAGAATGTGAGATATTCTTGCACACGTCTCCCCACGTCTGGGATGCTGCGAATGGAGGAATGTGAGGAATGGTACGAAATACGGGAAACGACACGCCCGCTATAATCTCTCACTAGCGGAAATTACATACCCAGGCACACAGATGCTAGTGTCCTAAAGAAGACCCTGATGTGTAAAAGTGCCAATGCGTTTCGAGCGCGATGGATCTGGAATTGAGGCCTGGAGGAGCAGGGGGCTACCATTCTTTTTCTAAATGTATGTATGTCCGTGTGTTCCGCTGTGATCATTTGTTGTTGAGAAGCGTTGAATACTACATTTAGGAATAGATATGTGAGTTGCCCTTGGACAAAAACGATACTCTGCGAATGGAGGAAGTTAGGGAGTGGTAGGTAGTATGACGCGCGCTGTGGCACGCTTGTATCTTCCACTGACAAAAGTTCTGGAAATTCAGAGGTACAAACTTGGCGGGGTCCTGAAGGGGACCACTACGTGTAGAACTGTCAGCTTTACCAAGGTTTTTCAAGCGAGATCCTGAAAATAGAATTGGGGGGGGGGGGGTCGCGATGTTGCAAAATTATTGACTTTGAGGAACTTGCATCACGGCCGCCTTAATAAGTGGTATATAAAAATTTCCAATTGTTGTAATACATATGAGACGTACGCCAGAAATATTTTCCGACACGATAGCGGTGATGGTGGAGTGTAAGGACAGCGTGAAAACCTCTGTAATTGCTGGGTGAACACAAATAGATCTAACTATTACATATGTGTAAAGTCAGGTGAAGGTTCAAACGTTCATTTTCAACGTTTTGCATCTTTCAACAGATCTCAAGCTTGGGAAGGGTTCAATGTAGTTGGGGCGCGTAAAAAATTGAACGCTTCGAAGTAGCCGGAATGAGTGCAGATGACGTCAATCGTTCGAGGACGTTCCGTATTTCGAGAGTCCGAACTGCCGCCGATCCGCCTGTGCATCATCACGTGCACATAACATAAATTGAAAACCCTACAAAAGAAAATGGGCAGAGCGCGACGAGTACACGCAACTGCGGAGTAGCTAGCTACTGATGCAATGCATAAAATTTGCAAGGGCAGCTATAACTAGCTTAAATTCAATTCATAATATTTACAGTACACCTGTCTTATGCACAGCCAGGACAGTAGTATTTACGTGATAGAAAGACAGGGAGCACATTCATCGAAGGGGAGACTGTTCATTGAGGGAGGGAGAAGGCTGTTCTTTGAGGGAGGGAGGAGGCCATTCGTCGAACGTTCACCGTTTGTCGAGGGAGAGAGGAGACCGTTCGTTGAAAGATGAGGCCGTTCGGCATTTGTCGAGGGGGGAAGGGGGGCCGTTCATCGAAAGGGGAGGCCGTTCGCCCGTTCGCCATTTGTCGAGGGTGCCGTTTGGCAAGGGAGGCCGTTCGTCGAGGGAGGGGGGGGGGGCATTCTTTGAGGGAGGAGGGAGGGAGCGAGAGGGGCGCCATTTATCGATGGGAGGAGGCCGTTTGTCGATGGGAGAGCGTGAGGGGAGGCCACATCCAGCCTCGATGTGGTGGGAGCTTTAGGCTTGGGCTGTATTACCCACTTGGACTCCTTCGACGCTCCGGGACACATCAGCACCTGTTCAACGTCAACAGGACATTCATTTACCTATGGCCTTCCTGTGCTACAGCGGGCGTCGTACTTAGCATGGGAGTGTTGAAAAGTTGCCTCGAAAATAGGCGAAGAGACGTCAGCGCCATCATAAGCAATGGTTGAGCCGACACCAGAACTTAACGCGAACGTCGTAACCGTCTGAGGTTGATACAAATCCTTGCACAACAGCATCGAGCGGGGCAGTGCCCAGGTGTTCAAGAAGGCCGTGACCGCGTTTGGCAGAGGTATGTGTCGTGCGAACTGCGGACAGGCGGATCGGCGGCAGTTCGGACTCTCGGAATACGGAACCTTCTGAATCGTTCACCAGGGATAGCCGGAATGCATCCCAATGATGTCATTCTTCCCGAACGTGCGTATTTGGACACGTTTGCGTCAGATAGCCGGAAGACAGGCTGTCGGAGTTTCAACCGACCTGGTTAGGTTACTAGACCGTTAGTTACTAGTAACTAACCACTCCGCGCCGCCCAAGTGCTTGAACATCGACAAGGGCTTCTTCCCGCCAACGTTACCAAGGGTGCAAGAGGAAAAGTGACGAAGCAGCTAGAACACAAGCATCTAGGTGAGTATCGTGCGCACGAGGAGCACTGACATACTTTTTCCCGAGGACAGGTGGGCGTTTCGTACCGCCTTCTCCATCATTACCCTACGGATGGTACGTCCCCCCTCCCTTTTCCCTCTTCCCGCTCCATCTTCAACGCAGCTAAATCAACCCAGACGACCTCGAAGACCGCCTCCACACTGTCGGCATATCAGAGTGCAAATATGAGATGGAAGCGACTGCTGGGAGGGGTAGCTGTAAGGAGTGGAGGATTGCGGATGTTGGTGTGGCCAAGGGGAGACAGGTGCGCGAAAAAACACGTATCCAATATACAACGTCCAACGAAACACTTAGACATGCAGCATTCGGCTGCTTACAATTTGAATAGCTCCAGCTCAAAGCTCTTCTGTCACAGATCCCGTTGCCAGCTTCGACGATCGTTGGTATGCGGTTACAGTTGGCCGGATTCCAGGCGTCTATAGAGGCGCGTGCGTAGTGTTCAATTTTCTATAGAATGTGTACTGTCTGACTCGATCATGCACAGTCACCACCTGAGCGGGAATTCAACAGGCACGCCAGGGGGTACTGTTCAACGTTTCGCTGACAAGCTCATCCAGCGCAAGGGCGTCTTTTCCTCCCTTGCCAGTGGAGGGGAGTGGGTCAGGGAGTGGTAATTATTCGATCTCTGCTGGATTGTTCTCCATCTTCATGGTTTATTATCTTCGTTTTCCTCACCATTTTTTTTCATCTTCGTTCACACACCTTTGTTATCCCCCTTTGACATTATCCGCGGTTCATTTGCGACGAACCTGATTGCATTATTCCTTCCTTGGACAAGCTTACCTTACGCATATTACCCCAACTTCGTGACCTCACTTGTAAAATATAGTATGCAACGTACTTTAACTACTTACGGAATATAATGATTTTATGACATGTATGCACTGGCAGTGGAACCTTAGGACTATATACTGACTGGCATTACAGGAGCTACGTGCTCGCCTTCAATCGTCCAACAACTTGGCATAAACCCTTTACTTTCCACGATACCGTGGAGTCAGGTAAGCACTGAATTTAATGTCGTCCTCCCTGTTATTCCATCAGAGAGAAAACGTGCTAAGAGTTAATGGGAAAGAACATACGTCGTGTTGAAGAGCTCCATATCGGTTTTCATGAATATGTTCGAGAACATTAAATACAACTCGGCCCACGCGAGGTGTGAAACAATGTCAAAAAGGCGAAACATACATTCATGCAGGTGCCCAGATAGCTTTTATGTTCTTTGCAGACAGTGCGAGCGATAGACGGCCAAGGTGTCTTGAGGACAAGAACACCTTCAACGTTATTACCTTCCAATTCATTGCCCGTAACGGGATCAAGAATGGCAGGCTCAATACCGAAGAAGGGGATAGTTGCGGAGCCGGGCAGTGTCTCGATAGCACCAGGGAACGGTGTAACGATGATCGACCCAGTCTCTGTTTGCCTGTGAGCGTTCAGCATCAGTGGACACCACGGAATATGTACAACTCACCAGAAGGTATCCACAATGGCGCACTGAGTCTTACCAACATGTTCGTTATAAATTATACCAATTCGACGCCTCTGGGTCGATAGGCTCGCCCACGCTGCTAAGGACGCACAGGCTGCTGAGGTCGTGGTTCTCGACGTGGTGAGCACCGTGGTAGTGACTCCATTGGCGAGAGGGCCGTACACAATATATCTGGATGTCATCTGAGAATTGCGAGTGATTGAGGAAAATATAACGTATGTGTGACCAGTGATCCAACCGACGTCAGCCATTTGTTATCGGGGAAAGATGTATTTGACAGCGAGGGCTGTGCAAACCTAAGGTACTCTCCTGCGGCGCGGACGACACTAGATCCGGACGTCTAACAGTGGAAACTATAGACGGGCTTCGTGTGAAACAAAAAAAAATCTCACGAGTCACATAGAGAATGAACAACAGGTCCTCAGGTGCCATAATCTCAGATGGGCCCTGCAGAACGTGGGGTCAGGTTAATCCCTTGAACAATGGGTGAAGCAGGATGTACCTCGGAGGAGGATCCATAAGGAATGAGTGCTGAGCTTGAGTTCAAGATGTCTGAGACGGAATCGCAATAAACTTTGAGGAGGTCTGCTGGGTTCAAGTCTCAAGACGTAGATAGCGATATGTTGTCTCACAGCTGGGAATGAAACAAAATAATGTGAAGGGCTAAGAGAGCGTCAACGAGAAGGAGCTAGATCCGTACAATATCCCATCTTCCGTTGGGCGGGAGAGGGATGTTTGGCGGACAGCGATACATCTTCTTGGGTTGAGGGAGGAGACAGGGCAATGAGGAGGAGCTGCGGAACGACAGCTGGATGACAATGTGCTAGACGACGGTAAGTCAGCATTTCTGAAAGACTTTTGAAGAAACCAACATACCCTGTATATTTCAAGGCACTACACTCGGAATCGCGAAAACTCCAAGAAGATTCCTACGCGACTCGGTCAAAGCAAGTTGACATGCCTCCGCATTCCATATACCTCGACGTCTATCAACATATTAGTTAACGTCTATATAAATGTGTAAATCTATGAGACGAACATAAAGCTAACATACCTTTCAAAGGAAAACTAGCATACCCTTGAATAGAACGTTGATACTACCAAGATGTTAGATTTTGGTGAGAGCCAAACAAGGACAAGCGTCACGCTGATTTTGCAGGCGTTGCCGGCCCCCGCAAGTAACACACAACATGTCCTTCATATCAACCACCACAATCAACCACCTTTCTGTCGGCTAACATCTACCATATCACCAGAATCCCTCTCTCGCAAGTCTTCGTCCTCTTCATTCCGCATGCCACCACTAATGAGCAATGCAGCCACTCTTCGTGCCCACTCTCCTCCAGCCGTCGATTTACGCCATATGACATCCAGCCTCGGCTCACCTACAAAACACCCCCAACCCAGCCTACGCTCAAACGAACCCCGACTCGGATCACGCTCACCCAACTCAATCTCTTCATCGCCCACCTTGGTGTACGTGTCTTTTTCTTTCACTCACATGTACCCCGATCTGACACGATAACCACAGCCGCTCGTCTTCATCGGCGAACTTCGAACGGGTCA